TAGTCATTTCCTAAAAGTTTACCAGAACGCAGCACAGAGTTCCTGAAACTGAAGACTGTTAATTTGCCTCGAACGTCAAGCCTCAGATAATGCATCTTGATCAAATCGCTGCTTTTGTTTCACAGTGAAAAATAGATTCACATGATACTTCTTGTATTTGACTTCCACTTTAGTATTTTAGCATTTTCAGTCTACTGTCCGGTACAAAGCACAGAGAGATATACTGCATATGAAAAGCATATGAACCACAGATTGCATCTAATGCGTTTTGTATTTTTCATAGAACTTACACTTAGTTAAAGTCGGCCTTGGGGCATTTGCTAATAGGATTTGTTGCAGATTAAAGCCTTTCCATCAAAGTCTTATGGCAGTGCAATTAGAAGGATTATTGTTGTGGTCTTTAGGAATAGTGTGATTGAAGATTTCTCTTAGGACATCAACTATATCCATTAAAATACTTAAATTACCTGGTTTATTTGATATTTTTTAATTTTGTTTGAATGCCTCGAGTTCATCATTGTAAAGTACTTTAAGGAACAATTTTGACTTCATATTTGAGGTACTTTTTGAAGTATACGCAGTATTGATACCATTTTAATTCCTCCCTTGCTATGAGGGTGCCACATGTTTCATTTGGAGTTTTACACCAGATGTCCTTCTTGATGCAACCCCAAAGGAGATTTGTATCTGCAGCTGGAATTGGACCTACAGCACTGGAGTTTAAATTACTTAAAAATCGGCTTGATGTGATTTTCGCATCAGATAGCTCAGGTCAGATAGCTCAGTGTGTAACAATAGGGTGATTTGCATTGACCCCTGTGTAGGATGTGGGGAGGTTTGTGAATAAAGGCCTCTGGCTGAATCAGTCTCCTTTCAGGCTTTGTTTTGGTCAAGCACAGCAAGTAATGTGATCGTATTTTAACCTTGTGACCCCGACGCTGTCAGACTCATAGTGTACTCAACACTCTTGCTTCATGAACTTTGGTGTCCTGTATAAGGAAAGAATAGCAGCTCAAATTATTTTGATTGGATTATAAGATTAGTTAATTGATGAAGGATTAATAGGTGTGAACGTGAGTGCCTTGCCACAGGCTGGCAACCTGTGCAGGGTGCACCCCGCCTCTCACCCTTTGGTCTCACCCCCCACCCTCTAAATTCCCGCTACCTTGATAAAGATAAGCAGAAGAGAATGAATGGATTAAGAATTAATTCTGGATTTCTGCACCACTTCACACTAAACAGTGTTGGAACAGCCTGTCTTAATGTAATCAGTGATTAAGGGCTAAACATTAACATTTGCATTTAGTTTTTAGGCTTGAGTGGTTCTGAGACCTGGCTGGCTCAGCGTTTGTGTCATTTAAACCGAGTCTTTTCTGCATCACTCCTAAACATTGTGCTGACATCATATGTTTAGTACACCAGGGATTCGCTCTTGTTTCCATTAAATCAAACATTCACTGACACAAGGTAGCTTGTTATCCTGTTCCTGGAATCTTTGGGTTTATTAGTTCAAAACTGGACATCACTGTCAGTACTGAACGTCATGCGGTGAAAGGAAACGCATGGATTGGACCGTACAGGTGAGGAAGGCTGGTAAAAATCACCGACGGTGGTCATACTTTTTTAGAATAACAATTTAAAGCACGCATGGAAAAATGCATTCATGCACAGATTTATTTATACGAACATCACTCTTGCCAGTCTAATTCAGAGAACTGCAGGGCGATGTTAACTCATTCACTGCCAGCCATTGGCAGTGAATGAGTTAAACCCATTGACTCATTCACTGCAATTGACGGCTATAGACGTCAATGGCAGTGAATGAGTTAAGAAGCACATAAAACCTAAAACTTGTCCTCAATTTCCAACAATTCACTGTTCGAATATAAAACTATCTTTGGTCATCTTGTTTTTTGTTTGCTGCAGTTATTAAACCTACATTTGGTAATGATTAGGCACTAGGTGTTTCTCTTTTTTTGTGCTGTGCTTTGTTCTGCAGGAGATAATTGGAGTGTAATTAGCTGAACGTGCTACCTGGGCTCATTAAAGCTCTCTTCCTCTTCTCGCTCCGTGTCTCCCAGACTCAGACTAGCTCAACAACAGCATGTGTTTTTGGTTTTATCCTGCATTCCTCATACTCTGCCACTCCTCAGTGCATGCTTTACACTGCTGACTGATACACACATATTCCTTTAGTTTATGTTTCGTGTAAATAAATGGTCTTTTTCTAAATTACCACCTCGTCTTGTCTTCGCCTTCTAGTTGGGCTGTGACATCAGGAACAGCATGTATTGAATGTTTCAAAGGAAAAGCAAACTAAAAACTTCCCTGTACTACCGCATATTTCCTCAGCTTTGTTTAGTCTGGGTTTTTTTAGTATATAACTACTTGCATTAGTTTTTAGCATGCATAAGACCACACCAGTCATCAGTAGTGCTTCAGAGATTAATGCAATGCAGCTACTTGGGGACAAAAATAGGAAACCAATTGGTAAAAAGCTTTGAAGCCACTTCTATTCATTCAGGTAATTCTGACTGATCTAGTATTGTGGAACCAAGGTATGCATGTGTATGTTGTCAGTTTTAGTCTAAAACCAGCTTTTTCAGTTTAATAGTTTCTGGGGTTTTTTATTTTTTTTATCTCTTGGATTGCATTAACTCCAACTCCTTCCCCTTTTTCTGCTCAAACTTTTGTTATGACTTGCCTGATGTTTTTTTGCAGTGTGTGTTAGTCGATCATAACACACTAAACATTTTTTAAAGAGACTCGTGTAGAAGGCACAATAGGGCTGTGCTGCAGTTTTTAGTTGTGTGGTTTTGTGCCACACAACAGATTTTTGTGCATGTCTGGTAAAGGAAGAGAAGACTTGTGGGTGAGAAGAAGTGTGAGATGAGTGAACATGTGAAAATGTTGTGCGACTGAATGGAAAAATAAATCATTTGGTGTGAGCAGCAGAGTTGTGATAGTCTTAATCACTTTATAAATCATGCAAAACCGGCCATGATGCCTTTTTTTGTTGTTCACCAACCGCTCAAAAAGCTTGTCCATTAACTCCATAGTCGGGCTGATAATACATATGTATGGGGGTAAATAACACACTGCTTTCAGCACACAAAACATCTATTTGAATTGCAAAACTGGTTATTTTCCCTCTGTTTTCATCCAACACAAAGCTGCTCTGAATTCGGAGCAGAGGTCTGTTTTAAATCAAAACTGTTGTGTGTAGCCAGAGTTTGGCAGCTCTTCATAAATGTGTGCAATAAAAAGATTCAACTGTGGAGGATGATGACTCCTCTGTGAAGCCTTATATTACACATTGTCATAGTGCAACAGTCACCAAAGGGGCTAGAGGTCAAATCTAACCCTTGTGTACCCAGAAAATGTCCCATTTTAGTCACCACAACAACAGGCTCATATAGATAGCCCAAGTATTCGTGTTTGCATGAGAACTGCTTTCCCAGCTGAGTCACATTCCTCAGAGGACCCTCCAGCTCACAGCAGGCTGTCACAGTGTCAGAAAGCGTGAAAATGGCTCCTCTGACTGGGAGACCAGACCCAGTCTGGCGTCCATCTGTAGCTCCAGTGTCACGTCAGGGCTGTAGATGTCACTGTTATACAAATACACACGTGGGTGAGTTATGTCAGTGGATTTGAAGCGCTTGAGTGAATTGACGTCAATGAAAGCGCGTGCTATACATTTGACATATCATCATTAAAAATGACCAACATGTAAATCCCAATCCTGTTTCATTAGTGTTACAGCTTTAATCAGTGAAAATGGACAAGCTCAAAGGTGCAGAGGAGTCCATACAGGTCTCTCTTACAAATGAAGGAATCTCTGTATGTCAGACCATGCATTCTTCATTTGTCTTTACAACCATTACACCTGGCCGGCAGGAGAGTCACTGTGGATACAAGAGAGTGAAGTCTCTTGGTGTGTTTGGGGCAATGTTGGTCTAGTTTTGGGGCTCCTCTTCCTGTTTCTCAGTCTCTAATGGCTAAGAAATAAATAATGTGCCATCCATTTTACTGGACATGATCATCAGGCTCTTATCACACCAAATGCAAAGTTGTCCCTCCCTTGAATGGTCCTCAGTAGGTCTTAGTTGGGTAGATTCAACCTCTAATAAACAACAGTGCATGACATGCTATTCCATTATTTATTTAACCAAAGCTATGTGTGAAAAGGTGAGCACACCTCATGATTCAATAGCTTGAAAAGCCATCTTTAGCAGTAATATAAAGGAATCGTTTTCTATATGACTTTTTCAGTCTCTGTCCTGATATACAAAACATTACAAAGTAAACGGTCTTGTGTTGCTGTTTTTTCCCCCCACAGGACTGTAAGAAAGATCCAGGATGTTGTTATGACAAGCATGAAACACCAGCTCGCCCTCTAGTGGTGCAAATAGCATGCAACATATATAGTGCAACACAGTGAGATGACTTTTAATGATATTGCCTGTGAGATGAGATGAGACACAAAATTCCTCACTTAAGTCAAAATTTCACAGTTTTACATTCTAGATGATACCCAGGCCTAACAAATAAAGAATTGAGTCCATTAGAATATCAAGATATAAGCAACAGACTTTTTTTCTGTAAGTGTACACATTTATTTTTTAAAATTTATTTTTATTCCATTTCATTTTACGGCCACAGCTATGCAGAAAAACCAAGACGTGCTGCTGAAATAGCACTTTTTTCATATATTAAGACATCTCAGGGATTAAATGTGTAGTTAAACTTCTTTACACAGAAATTGGGCTGTATGTGGCCCACAATGTAAAATTCCCTTCTCTAAAACGAACAAGTAGACCCAAATCACGTCAACAAATGCCTAGGTGTAGGGTAAACGTTTTTCCTTTAATTTGTCACCCCGCAGTAGTTGCGCTTGCAGTTAATGAGCTTAAATTATGGACGGCATGTCTTGACCTGTCTTTTGACATCAATGTAGAGGGCGCGCTTGAACAAAAGCTGGACGAGTGGAGATAATCGGGTGTTACGAGCGGTACGTGAAGGCGTCGTGAGCATGCTGGCGCTAACAGCGGCAAAGGAAGTGCCGTTATTCTCTGCCACGTCTGTAGGCTCCTGAAGCGGCGCAGCCTGCAGAGGCGGCAGGTCGGAGCACCGGGATGAGCCGGTGCGTGGTCGTGGTGGTGGGGGGGGGATGAGAGGGGGGCAGTGGGAGTGACCGAGGAAACGCGGAGGAGAGGAAGGAAAGAGGAAACACGTCGAGGCACAACACAGCGCTGAAAAGAGCTCCGGCTTCTAGGAGCCACCGCTGTCTTTTGGAGGATCCTTTCCTGCAGGACGTCTATTGTCCGGACAGAGCCGCGGGGAAACCCATGCTAAGCTCAGGGAGAATGGAGGAATTCGTAACCGAAGAGGAAGAGCCATGGTACGACCAGCAGGACCTGGAGCAGGGTAAGACAAGTCCCCATCCTATCCTGCCTGCCCGCAGCATCCCTTGTTTCTGTCAGCTTCTGGCACCGGCCGCTCAGCCGGCCTCTTCGAACAAAGACTCTGCTGTCGTGAGATACGACAGAGAAGTCATTTGGAGCCGTTTGCTTGCTCTGCTTCAGCGCAATCAATAAAAACAGCGAAGGAGTTCCCAAGGAGCGGACTGCGCTTCTTTGACAACAATGCTTTGAAAGCATGCCAAGCAGGGCCTTTGCATGGCTGGAAGTAGTCAGCATCAATGTGATGCACCCGTGTCAGGGTCCACCATGGAAGTCCTAATCGAACTAAAGCGCATATTTTTAGGCACCGATGTTGCAATTCTGGGTCGATGTGTTTAAAATATTTTTCCACTTGTTTTGTATTGATTTATTAAATGCTTTGTGTCAGGGATCCCCATTCTAAAATATACCTGAGCCATTCAATTTTTTAACCTCTGCATCAAAATTATTTTTATTATATTTTGACATCAGGAAATGTCCTCTATGTTGCGGTTATCAGTAGAGTTTGAGAGGAAATATCGATACAGTATAGTTAAAAACAAGGAAAACCAAATATCAATATTTTATTACAGAAATTCAAATACTTTGGGACATGCACCACCACCCTGAGGTAACCCAACACTAGAAACACTTAGCTTGCGAAAATTAGCTCCTAATTTGGAGCAAGTTAATAGATGGCGACTAAATGGCTGCAGAGAGCAGGACCCGTTTGATTGCAAGGTATTTGAAACCTTTCTGCAAACAGTTGCAGTCTGACTCGGACTGACTGCAATCATTCTCAGTGAGGTTGTCAAAGGCTGATTTCTGTCTAATTAAAAATGCAGACAGATTGCCAACATGTTGCCATCAGTCTGCATGAGTCTTAGTCAATGAGTGCAACTCAGCAGGCTGCCAGCTGGTTGTATTCTGTTATATTCCTCAAGAACAGGAAGGTTACTGAGCAGAAATGTAATAGTTAGATTGCTGTTCATGTAGATGGAAACAGCTACATGATTTTTCAATGATTTACCACTGTTAATGGCTGTATTATCAGCTAGCATGCAATTGCCAACCATTAAACTACAAACTGATGCCAGACTGATAGCAGACTAACTGCATGTTATGGTGACATTTATGGCAGGTTTTTGTGACAGTGTTGAGATGGTTATCTGATGTGAGATAGCTTTATCTTACTGGATAAAAAAATGTATTGACAAAGTTTAATTTTAAGGACAAAAAAAATCAAAATATTTTCATATGGCGAATAAGGGGCTATGATAATATCATATCGTGGGATGTCTAGTGATGGCCAGCTCTAGTTATCAGTGACTAGGGATGATAAAATAAGATAAAACAAAGAGATAAAAAAACATTTTTCTGTAAAATAAATAAATGGTAAAAAAAGAATTGCAGTTTGCCAACATTATTCTGATTGAACTAGCTTTTGTGAAGGAAAAATCTCAATAACCTTCCAGTTCAAAGCTTGCTAATTATCTCGTGTCTTTCCATTAACACCTTAACCTCCGCCCAGTAACAACACAAGGGACTCGACTGTGTTGCTATATTTAAAGAACACCTAATGTCCTCATTTCCAGCTCCAAATTTTTATTCTTCTTCACTCTTTATTCCTTGGTGAAGTCCCTGAAATTATTGTTGCTGTTTAGTTTGGCCAACTCTCTCCTGATTGGCTGCCCATTGTAAACAAAGTCTGAACTGCTGGTGGGTGGAGCAGTGTGCCTCGGATGACCATATTAGGAATATCCTTTGTTACTGACATCATACAGTGCCAAGAGGAGAAAACACTGGTGCATTTAGCATCAAATCTGAAGCTTGTACATACACTGACTTTATTATTTGAAATATTTGCCATGTTTAGTATGAGGATTTCCTATTATAACACTGTATATATGACAAAAAATTAGTAAAGCCCGACGAGCTGAAGATACAATAAACATTTACTAAGCCTTTCAAATCTATTTCAGTGTTCATACAAATTGCAGCTGATGTTGTAGCAGATGGATCCTGTATCAGCTGGTCTACATCTGAATGACGGCAGCTTTTTATATTCCATTTCCAGGGAGCTTTTAAATGTCGGTGACTCAGGAAATTACATTTTGAATGAAGTCACACAGTCTATTTATTGATGAATGGAACATCTGCAGATATTCATGAGCCAGTTTGAAACCAGTCTGAACCTGATCATTCAGGGACTTGTATAATTATGTTTTTAGGACTTATCCACAGCTGTGAGTCTTCACATTCTCTGTACCACTTAGCTCATTTCCTGTCGTGCATAATCTCTCAATCACCTGCTCTCTGCTCATCTAATTATAATGCTAAGCTACATTTCCCCTGGCTAAGGCTAAATGGTGCTGATGCTGTGATTTTACCTGACTAGAAACACCAATGGACGCACAAACAAACACATTTACCAACATGATGTCATCGATTGATAAGCTAACTTGTTTCCTGTGCACCAAGTGTTACACATTAGGGAAACCGAGGGTTAAAACAGGTCTTTAATTGGCTTTATTTTGGGAGATGGTGAGGAAGAAGAGAGTGAAATTAGAAGAAAGACGAGGCAAATCAGAGCGACGGTGTGAGAGCGGAATGAAAGTGTAACAAAAGTCAAAATGGCTGGAGCCAGAGAAATGAGCTGTGTCTCTGTGCAGAGAGATCTGAGTTTGATGGAGCAGAGAGGATGTCAGTCCTCTCTGAACAGTGCTGGGCTACAAAGTGCTGACTGCCCCAGTTCATCTTCAGTCGTGTGGCATTTCTAGGTGCATCGAGTCCTTGGATAGGCACACCACTCTCATCGTATTACCTTGTTGTCATGCAGGAATCACTGTAAGTTGATGTTCTTTGGGATGACTTTCCCCACAGAAGTGTTGGCTAAAATGTGGGTAAATGAGGATTTCTTTCTGCACCAGAGACCTGCCCAGAGTGTACCCTGCTCCTTACCTGGTAGCTGGGTGGGACAGTGGGTGGATGAAATTAGGATATTTTTCTTTTTAGTAGTTTTTAATAAGAATTGCTAAAAGAGTTTAAAACTAACTGTGTAATAGTAGTCTTTGCCTGTTTTTGCCATTACCGTCTTTGACCAATGATCACTGTCAGTTCATATGGTAACCTCTTCTCAGCCACAATGTAGGCCTGCCTTCAAGCCAACCCTGCTTTATCACATTTGTTTACTTTTTTTTAACTGAGCTGCAAAAAGCTTCCTCATCCTTTTAGGGTTTCTCACATGAGCTCACATGCAGATTGCTCAAGAGCTATACTGACCATGATACAATCAAAAGGTGCTATGGGGAAAAAAAATGTATATTTTCAGCCTGGTTGGCAGTCGTTCCTGGAGGTTGCTGGCTTGTGTGTGCATGTTTAGACGTCTTTTTCAGGACAGAACATTGCTGTGCTACTATACTTGTGAGGACCAACAGTCCCAAAATGCCTGTTCCCATGATTTTGAAGTCATTTTTGAGCCTAAAAATGTTGTTTTAGTGTCAGGTTTCTAATTAGGTTATGGTTAGGTTTAGGCTGAGGGTTAGGGATTCATTTTTGATGGTTAGGGTAAATGGCTAAGGAAAGCATTATCTCAGTTAGACGTCCTCACTAAAATATGAAAATGAGTGTGTATGTGTCTATATTGGCGGTGAAGCTAAGAGAAGTGGCTGAACCTGTTTTCATCTTATAATCCGATTTTTATCAGAGGTGCATATTTTAAAATATGATAGTTGCATCATGGGGCTGTATTTGAGTGAGTGGTGTTGGGGATGAAAATCAATGGCATTGTGAAAAAGTACAGTCAGCTTTTGAACCACTATAAAATGGCATCATTTCTCAGCATGACAAAAACTGCGAACACGCTGCCAATGCAGTAAAAGCATACTTGGATGGAAAAAACACACCTGAGTCTTGCCTGGACCTCAGCATTACTGAAGCGTTGTGGGATTATCTTGACAGAGATTTATTTCCCCAACTCTTTATCCAACTGGAGAAATAAACATGATTCATATTTAAGTGACTTTCATAATGAGCAGTATATACTGGTTGAATAGATTAAATAGAGAAAAGAACAAAAAGTGCTATATGAGTGAAAATAACAACAAAAATGAAGGGTAACATTAAGTGAAAACAAACTGAAAGTCTGAGTGTGTGTTTGGATGTGGCAGGTGTTAAACTAGGCCTGTAACTGTACAAACTACTCATGATGTCACGTCTCAGCTTTCGACTCTTAAAGGAGGAGAAAGCAGGAAGGATGCAGACGTGTAAATGGGATGCTTCTTTGTTGCTTCTTTGTTTGGGTTTATTGTGTGTTAGCCTGAGCCTCTCCTGGCCGATGACCAAGAAACTAATAAGTGGCTCTACCAGCTGAGACTGGGGGGGCTGTTTGCTTGCATACATCTGATGAGAGAGCTCTCTGAGCACTCCTGTTACATCATAATTGTTTACATCACTCAGGAGTAGAGAGCAATATCCCAGGATGTTTTTATAAATAGTTTTTATAAATTACTACTTTGCCATGTAGTATGCATCATTGCAGTCAATATTACAGCCCGGATAAACACTATGGTGTAGTTCTTCTGTCTGGTGAATGTTTCTTGTGCATTTTCTGTTACAAATTTAGTCTGAAACACTGGAAAAGAGGAACCAGAAGTTTTATTTTCCACATTCCAGTGAGTCTCGTGGGTGATACGCACCTACCCAAAAATCAGCCTGTGGAAGACATCACTACGTACTGTACTGAATGCATGGATTCGACTGCAGATGCATTCACACACTCTTAAAAATAAACTTTTATTTTTCTCTGAAGTACTGACACTCTGGCAGCTGGCTTCATGGGTTGTCTGGATAGCTTCTTCATGCATGATGTGATTGTGCCGGTGTTCCGGCCTCAGTGATGTCACCTGTGGGTCAATGTCAGGTCTGTCTGGAGCAAACAGTTGTCTATGACAGCTATTAACTTGCAAAGTTGTTTTCTTGTGTAGTGAGTTTCATCGATTGGCCCTCTTCGCCACTTCTACTCTTCTTTTGTTTTCCTCCTCATCTTTTTCTCTCCTCCCCCTCTTCCTCTGTTGTTGTGTTGATACTGAGGCTTTAGGCTGTGTAGCGCTAACTCTCCCTCCATCAGCCAAATCCCCTTCGACATCTTGTAGACACAAAGACTTTTGGGTTGTCTGGTTTTATTTGGGCTGTATTTCACATCATCAAGACAACTTCTGAAAAATGGTTGTCGACAGTATCCAAATGGAAAGATGTAATAATGTAATGTAGACTTACTGAAAATAAAAAAGCTCAAACTCAAATCAATACATTTAGAAAGTGTGTAAGAAGTAGATGATCATAAAGTATTTTGCACCAGTCATACAAATATGATGAGTATATATCCGATCTAATGGGGGAACAGCATGGTTACTCTGTGTACTCCTGCTTATGTGCTTGCAACTATAGGAAAATGTTGCAGTGATGCAGGTTATCAGTTTCCTGGATGTATTATGGCCTGGCATTGATCCATTTGCTAACTATTCATTACTTAAGCCAGAGGCTTGACTGATGACTTTGTTGGCTGTTTAGTCCTTCACTTTCTGAGAGGCTGCAAACCACTTTTTGCTGACTCAGAGCCAGTAATGTAGGCTATCAGTACTGCTGAGTCAGCGCACGGTTTAAGTGGATGCTGCTCATCTTAATTTGGAGTATTTTAGCAGCCGGGACGTATAAATAAAACACTAAAATGTGCTAAAGTCAGAGTAAATGGTCTCTCTAAGAAAAAGACAGCATCCCAGCGAGTGAAATCTCTATTCTCATCTTAATCTCAGATGTGTCACTCCAAATAATCTGGGTTCCAATCTGTGACCTTCATATTCAGTCAGTGGAGAGTAGGAAGCTTGGAGGGAGACGTGCTGCAGGGAGGAGCGCTGCCTCGCTGTCTTCCCTCTATAATTGAATTGGTCCAGGGCAGACTAAGGCGATGTGATGGATCATTGTAGTTATAACCTTGCTTAAAATAGAGCTGTGTGCGGCGTTAAATGTGGCAGAAGTCATCTAAATTGTGCAGCTGCATTATGTCTTCTTCTGTGAGATACCCCCCACCCCACTGTCACTGTTCATTTCACACCTCTCCCTTCGTGTTCTCTGCTTTCACTCATTCAATCTGCCTCCTTCTCTTTAAAAATGTTTCATCTGCTTCTTTTTCTAGATCTCCACTTGGCAGCAGAGCTGGGAAAGACTCTGTTGGAGAGGAACAAAGAGCTGGAGGACTCTCTGCAGCAAATGTACATCACCAATGAGGAGCAAGTGCAAGAGATCGAGGTGTGGACCACAGAGCAATGCAAATATTACATTAATTAATATCACAGGACTGCCAGCTCAAGGGCACTCAGTAACAGCAGTGAACAGAATTGTTACAGGAAGTGCAATTGCAAGTGAATTCTTCTGCAATACAAAAAATGTGTTATGGAGTCCCACAGGGCTCTGTACTCGGCAATAGTATTAGGTGACAATGCAGATGACACCCAGCTTTTTTTCCTTATGCCACATGAGTCGGCTTAAAGACATTAACGTGCAGATAGCCTGTTGGTTTCTACTCGTGTCCGAAGGGGACATGGTGTCTTGCCAGATACCTTACTCTGGATGGCATTACCTCGGCGTCCAGTACTACTGGGTTGAACTATTTTTGTCCTTTAATTGTACATAAAAAGTTTTTTTTGGTTTTTTTTAAGACAGTCGTTTTTCATATAAACAGTTATCTACATTAGGAACTTCCTGTCTCAGAGTGATGCTAAAAAACAACTTTGTGCATTTGGTACACATTGGCTAGACTATTGTAATTTCTCATTATCAGAATGTCCTAATGGATCCATTAAAAGGCTTCATTTCCAAACACAAGAGAGATCATGTTTCTCCTTCTGCATTTTCCGCAGCCTTCCGCTGTTACATTCCTCTGTGTCGAACCACCAGACAGTATGTTTGGCAGGAGGCCTTCTCTGTGTTTTAAAGGTTAAGCTTAAACAGGGCTTATTTTCTTCATTTCTGTGCACATATTCCTGTTCCTAGACTCTAGTAAAGTAGCTCTGCATGACTAATAACTGAATCTAATCTAATTAAATTACCTTATACTGGACCTTGATGCAAATCCTTGGTTCACAGTTTGTAACAAACTTTCGTTTTAGTTTTCTTTCAGCCAGCTTGTTATTTATTTGCTGCTCCTCGTACAGAGAGTATTTGAACAGCAGGTGGGTGGAGCCTTTGTGCTCACACTTCTCAGTGACAAAGAGCCAAAAGTATTTAAAACCCAGCCTTAAATGGAGCATTTTAGAAAACAGAATGACGTTTGAGCTTATGGTGAACAGGGCACCCATAATTTCTGTGTGCATGTACAATGAAAATAACGGGCTGTTCTATTCTATTATTCTTTCCTGACAAAGCTTATCAATGGAGCTGGATGAGGTGACCTGTGAACTGTCCCTTTGTTACACTGCTGTAGACTATTTTCTTCTGTGTAACACAATGCTTTAGCACAATTCTTGAATTAAATTAAATTGGGTGGAAACACCCATCGTGCACATGACATGTGCTTATTTATGTGCTTATCTTTAGTAAGGAATTTTGGTGAAGTCCATCTGCTGAATGATATCATGCAGTATGGTGTGAAGCTGTACAGCAGGTGTTTAGTGGCTCAGGAGTTAGGTTGCAGTGATAAATCCTACATATGTGCTGTAAAAAGTAAATGAAAGCCAAATTTAAGTGACCGTTAAAAGCTTCTAGCTTCAGAGATCTAAGAGATTGTTGGAACTTTACCTGAAGTTGTGCATTTTTATTTGCGCTAAATATGTGTATGCGTTTGTTTCCAGTACTTGTCAAAGCAGCTGGAGGTTCTTCGGGACATGAACGAGCAGCATGCCAAAGTGTACGAGCAGCTGGACGGGACTGCCAGAGAGCTGGAACGCACCAACCACACGCTGGTGATGGACAGCAAGTCCTCGCAGCAAAAGATCGAGAGGTGAACGGGACTGGGAGCGCTCCTTTTTCCATGTTTTTGGCCTTCTTTCATTCATTTATAAATCTTTGCCCTCTCTTATGCACCAGGTTAACGGGGACTATTGAGACTTTGCAGAACCAGGTGGAGTCTCTGTCAGGGCAGGTGGAGCAACTTCGCTCCATGGAGCAACTGCGGGTCAGGAGGGAGAAGAGAGAGCGACGCAAGACCATCCACTCATTCCCTTGCCTGAGGGAGCTTTGCACAGCACCCAGGTACCTGTTTTGTCTTCCATAGAATGAGAAAGAAGAGGAAAGTAGTTATAGAAAGTCGCACTTAAACACTGCATGCCAGCATCAAACTGCTAAATATTGGTCTCATCTGTTATTTTGTCAGGTATGAGGATGAGTTTGTAGTGGGCAGGGCTGAAAGTTTTACTATGGAAGCCAAGCGTCAGCCATTTGAAGAAGAGAACCAGCACCTGAGGGAAGCGGTGTCTGCTCTGAGAGCTGCTGTCCGGGCCGAGAGGAGTCGCAGGGAAGGGGTGGAGAGGGAGTGCAACCTCCTGATATCGGAGTTCTCCCGGCTGCAGACACGGGTGCAGGTGGGGTGCAAAAATAATGCACTAAGCATGTTTGGCTGTTAAGATACAGGAAAACATACAAGCAGAAAAGATATCGGCAAGTTGTTTGGTTTTTTTTTTTTTCACCAAAGTGAAACTAACTGCTAGCAGGGACAGTGCTAATTTGTCAGAGTCCATTTGATTTCATTGGTTATGACATTTAATTATGTCTTCAATGCTGATCACCCCTAATGAAAACTACTGACTAATGGAGTGTCGTTTTGAATATTCAAACTAATTTCAAATTTAGAATTATGGCCTTAATCATAATCATATTGTTCTATTCAAATGTGGTCAAAAGTTGTGACCATGTGAACAGCGAGGCTTGGTGAGCTAGCTGTATATGATGTTGTTGAGGTACATCACAGATGCTGATACCACATAACTGGTGCTCATAAATAGTATTAATAAGATGTCACGCAGCTTTTTTTTTTTTTTTTTTTTTTTTTTAAATAACCAAGTGGTAAGCATGTTTATTTTTCCTGCAAGAAAGTTTTTTTCTTTTCTTTTTAAAGTAGAAGTCCATGTGTACATGCTCGCTTGAGCGGCCTCAAGTGGCCATTAGCAGAACTGCAGGTTTCTGCACTTCAGCACACTGGCTTCTTTTTTTCCAGCCACTTCAGCCTAAGGTTTCTGCATCTGTCAGACTAAATAGTCATTGATTATGGAAAGGGGTAAAATGTTCTTTAAATCTGATCTCTGTGTGCAGTTTAATAAACTACCTTGGAACCTGATCAACTGATCCAAAAATGATGATTTGTTGATTATAAATTAAAGACAATTAAGTGGAGGAGAATTTTGCTATGATGTGCTATTTATGTCTTTATTTTGAGTGTGGGTAATGAATTTTATTTGAAATAAAACTAACTGGTTGTGCTCACAGGATGCTGAGAGCTGCCAGGCGAGAGTGCGGGAGCTGGAGGTGGAGCTGCAGGAGCTGCAGCAGCTGCGCCGAGCTCGAACTTTCCTCCTGAGCAGTGAGGATGATGGTGTGGCTCTTACCCAGACTGTCCTCAGTATCACCCCGGAGACCGACACCTTTTTGGAAGTGGAGGTCGGGGAGACGGGAGGAGGCGTCAGGGAGGAGACAGCAGGTGGAGGAGGTGTTGGAGGTGAGGCGTTACCTGATTCCAGTCCTGTGAGGAAAAGCTGCAGCGACACGGCGCTCAATGCCATCGTGGCCCGGGATGCGTCCGGCAGAAGGAGAGGCAGCTACGCTCTGCACGCCAATAGCGTGAGGAAAAGAGGGATGTCCATCCTAAGAGAGGTGGATGAGCAGTACCACGCCCTGCTGGAGAAGTACGAGGAGCTGTTGGGGAAGTGTCGACGACACGAAGAGAGCCTGTGTCACGCCGGCGTCCAGACTTCCCGGCCCGTCTCCAGGGACCCGTCTATGAAAGACTGTGCCATGGGCCCCATCGTGGCACCTCCCCCTACTCCCACCCAATCGCCGTCCACCCCTGAAGCCATCGAGAGCATCAGCAAACAGGTGGAGGCGGTGGATAAGCGGCTGGGGCAGAACACTCCAGAGTACAAAGCCCTTTTTAAGGAGATCTTCTCTCGTATCCAGAAGACTAAGATGGACATCAAAGCTACCAAAGCTGCAAAAACTAGCAAACCTGGTAAATCTGGTAAATCTAGTAAACACTAAATTTACACCGACTGGCTCTAGAGACGGTGGCATCATTGCTTGTTCAGTGTTAGGCTGTGAAGGTGCCCGGCACGAACATTCTTACAGAGGGTGCTACTTTTAAAACCACTAAATTGAATTATGGTTCAGGTTGACTGAGGTCACGTCAGACTCTTGTGATCGAGAGTTGAAACCTTCTGATTTGCATGCGATCAATCTGTAAAAGTTGGAGAACTTAAGCATAAAAACATAAACAATTTAATTTCAGCCTGGTCCAAAGTCTGTTCTGGCTTCACTGCCTTACTAACTATACTTAAAACACTATTACACAGCTTGTGGGCCTGACCAGTACACCAAAAGCTAAAGTTTCACAAAAACTAATAAAACTGCATATCTGAGAAACACGAGTACAAATCAATGTCTGTCATGTGTTGCTTTTAACATAGAGAACTAAACTAGCATTTCTGTGATTATAATAAGACAAAGATTGATTCCTCACCTCACAAGCCGAGGATGTCAAGGGTGACCTGGAGGTGCTACTTTTACTAATATCACTAGTCGCATTAACTCTAGTGAAGCATTTTTGTCTGGACGAGATTCCTCCTTCCTGTGTGTGACCTTACTTTGGCTTAGTGAAAGTTTACGGGGCTTCGCCTTCAATAGTTTGAGATTTTGGGAAAGTGATGAAAAGATCCATACCAGTGCTGTGTTTGTATGTTATTAAGCCACCGCTCATTTAACATAAACACTAACCCGACTCTTGTCATAACAAGTTGTGGGTTTTGGGGAGCAAAAGTGTTGTGAATGAATATAATACAGAGATTACTGACTGATACTGGATTATTGTTGCTAATACTAGGTAGTAAAATGATTATCTTTATACCTGTTTATATTCTTTATCTTTCAGTCTTCTACATTACTGAGTGCACTCAAAACCTTTAGCTGGCCAGTTGCCTTGCTAGCAGGTCAAAAGCAGAGATGAGCACTAGTGAAATGACAGTTATGTGGAAAGTGTTTGAAACGTTGGGGTCACTTTTTTTTTTTTTTTTTAAATTAATTATCAAGCAATACATTTCACACTGGCTTTTGTCCAGCTGACACTAACATAGCTGGTAGCTGCCAAAATCCATTTATATAAGATAAGATTAAGTAACCATTTGGACAACATTGCATATATCCACAGTTTGTATAGCATAGATCAGCATATATACAACTAGTACTTGTTTAAGATTTTATTTGAACGTAACACGGTGCAGGTACTGCAGACAGGGTTTCTAGTATGTGATAAAACATTAAAACAAAAAGGGCCAGAAGGGTCCAAAATTGAGGCTGCAAAAGCAAGTCAGTCCCCCTAAACTCTGATGGAAAAATGCCCACCTCTGGAGGAAATGCACGTTTACAATTTGGTACTAAAACCCATTTTGGTCTGCTCTTCGGCCACAGTGGATCATCTGCCTCGATCTCTCACCCTGTCCCTAGCACCCTCTTCTGTTACACTAACCATCTGCATGTCCTCCGTCACTGCGTCCATGAATATTCTCTGTGCTCTTCCTCCTTTCCAACCTGGCAGCTCCATCTTCAGCATCCTTTGTCCACTATTACGCCTTTCTGTCTGTACAAACCTTATCAGCCTTACCTCACTTAAAACCTGAGCTTTTCCTCTAATTCACTCCCTTCCGATCCTGTCCCCTCCTGGTCACCCAAATAAAGGCTCTGTATCTTCAACTCTGCTACCTCCAGCTCCACTGCCTGTCTTTTTGTTATCAGCTTTCACTGTTACTGTTATCTTCCTGTCACAAATCTACTAACTCCACCTTCCCTGCACTCTCTTCTTCTCCTCTCTTGTGCACTCTGCTGCTTTGGATGATTTAAACTCCTCTACGTTCAAAACTCCTTGCATCTTCACCGATTCACCTGTCTCCCTTTCATAAAAAATAGCTTGACTTGCTGTTGATTAATTCTACTAACAGCTTGTGCACCTCCTTTGTTGATTGAAGTGCTAGTATTATTAATACTATATATCTAACAAGACAGCAACAGCCAAAATGCTAAAGTCGAGGTTCATAAGGAATATCTGTTCCCAACCAGCTGTTTGCAACAGTGCTTAAAAAGTACGTGCAGGAAAATGAAAGACCTGGCAACCCTGGCTGCAGGCAGTACTGAGAGCTTCTTCAGAGCCCATCGCTACCATTTCCAAATTACCCCAGTAATATTTTCTACCTATGTTCTGTTTAAAGTTTGCATATTGGCACAAATCTGACAACAAAAATGCTAATACCGACTGATCTGTGATAGGCCCAGTAAATGCTACAAAGCTTCTGACTTAGAGATGAGTTGCAAAAGGACAATCTCTGCAGATAGCTGTTTTCACTGTTTCCTGGGCATTATGAGCTTTCATACAGAATACAGTAAATATAAAGCATGAGGATTTCTGGTTGCTGGGGTGACAACTGAATGAAGACGGCATGAAGGTTTGTGAGGAAGTAGATTTTATATAGTTAGTCATTCACACTTAATAGCTGACGTGTAACCGGTATAAGGCTTCAAACCAGGGCTTTTTCTAACACCTAGCAGTCTTACCAAACTATAAAGCTAACCTGCAACATATTGCACCTTTTTCACAATATACAATAACTATGCCTTTTTTCTTGGTAACCTCCTATATGTAAACCTTTGTTATAATGAATGTTATTACGGTTATATATTTTATACACAGCTCTTCAGCGTCGTGGAGGACAAATGGACACAGCTAACACCGGAGGGATCGTAAACTAGTGTTTAAGGCTCATGTGTGTTTTTAGGAAGAGAAAAAACCCCACTGTGGATAATGGATTTTGTGTGCAACCCAGAAAACAGTTAGTGAACAAACTGTGGTGCGTTTGAGGTCGGCGCTCGTGTCATTTCGAATGATCCAAGCGTGATGAGAGAACACGTGTTAGCAATGCCAAACCAGAGCCTGTTATTATTCTACCAGGTTCATGGGGTTTCTGTACTGTAATGACTTACCTATTGCACTTAAAATGTCTGACGCCTCATCTTTTCATATTTAGGATAGGTAACATTAAAACTGTACCTGTATTTTGATTTTTTTTGTGTGAATTTTTTCTTTTTTCTTTCTTTTTTTTAATTTTCAGTGCCGATATGTGAATGTTGATAACATACTGTCAGAATAAATTTATTTAATTTGCTTTACTTTTATTATCCAGTTGAAACTTGTGCATTATTACTTCATAAGACATTTGCATTAATGTTTAGTCTAATCTGGTATTAGTTCCTATTATTACTGAAGTAAGACTTACTTTACCCTGTTAATAAAGCATTTATATAATGCATTCAGTCTCTTTGTATTTGTTGTGTAATTAAACTGAGTAAGTAACACTTCCTGACTCTAGAAATAGTTTATGCATGTGCGGATCAGACCCTAAGGTCTCCTCTCACACAAACCTCTCTCCCTGACCCGGTGAGATAATGTCATGTCAGTCACACAAATTAGTTGATCTCCATTCCTTTTTTGGTGGCTGCAAGCTGTTGGTTATGACGGAAATAATGAGACTGGAAGTGGCCACAAGAAAGGAAGAGTTTGGTCATCCAGGAAGCGTTCAGAAGCATAGAAATAAAGTATCGATCCTGTCGCGCTTGTATTGCTCCACACCATTGATATTTGGATTTATAGGCCCAACTCTATTGTCTACTGATCGTTCCACCAAGTGAGGTGTTTCAGTCATACAAAACTGCAAGGAGACCCTGGGGAAGCTGGAGAAATTCTATCACAATACTGAGTTGGGAACACTCCAGCACACCATAGGATGAGTTGGAGGTGATGGCTGGTAAGAGGAAGGCTAGGTTATCCCCTGTCCAGAGAATTGACTGCATAAACCAGATATGGGCAGGGATGTTAAACTCATTTTGCATTGTGGGCCATATACAAGTCAGATATATAAAGTGTAGGTATTTGTTTAAAAATATAGGGAGCTAAAGTAAAAGGTTGTCAGAAAAATAACTACTTAAGTAAAGTACAGGTATCTGAAAAGTTAACGAAGAAAGTAAACAGTAACAAAGTATTTGTACTGTGTTGCTTCCCATCTCTGTGCCACTTTTTAAAGTGACTTTAGCTGATGTGTTATTGGAGTAGTAAAGAAACCACAAGACTTCAGCACATTTTGTGAGTACAGGGAAAGTTTTCTCATCAACAGCTACTGATAAAACGCTGCTGTTCTATAAGGTATAACATCATTTGTGTTGTAATAGAGGTTGAAATAGTGGTAGAAAATAAAGTACCGACGTCGTATAGTTATATATTTAGGTATTTGGATATACTTGGGTTCCTCGTCTATCAATCTGACCGCGTGGCCTAATGGATAAGGCGTCTGACTTCGGATCAGAAGATTGAGGGTTCGAGTCCCTTCGTGGTCGACTTTTGCTTATGTCGCAGCCGCCAAATTCGCTTTCGATTCAGTTGCTCTTAGACAGCTAACCTTCCACCAAACGACAGCAGTTTTTTGGAATGTTTGTGTCCTTGAGTCAATGTTAAAATTAAAAGCCAAACGAAATGAAGATGTTGTGTATGTGAAACGGAACTCCTACTGAAGCTAATAATGATTGATGGTATCCGTCCAAGCGAACGCTAACGTTATGGTTAACTTACTAGCGAAAACGATTATTCTTTAAGATTAAGACACTAATGTTACAAAAACTAGCAATCTTATCAGTCAGTTCTGGCAACAACAAACACGTACAACAGTGAGTTAAATACAGAAATAATCACTCCCCTCACCATCGGCAGCAGAGTGGCGCAGCGGAAGCGTGCTGGGCCCATAACCCAGAGGTCGATGGATCGAAACCATCCTCTGCTAAGCCTTCTTTTTTTTTTTTTTTTTTTTTTTTTCATGAAAGAATAACCCTTGGCTCTTCTCTCGTCAACAAAGTGCTGTTTATTATTACTATAAGCGTAATTTTATAAGTGTCGTTAAACCTAGTGTGTTAAAGTAGCATTCTTAGTTAAAAGTAGTCTTCACTTAAAACATTGTTGGTGTTTATTATGAAACGCTTTCAGTGTTTATTTTACAAACAACAACAAAAACAACAACAAAAACCCAATATGTACATCAACCACTTAATAAATAGTATAAGTATAAAATCACAGGATTGATTATTATAGCCACTAAATCGCAGGAGGGAGAAGTATAACAGTCATCCACTTAGTCAAAATCCACACGTCTGTTCTGCTTGGTAGCTGAATGAATCTTCTTCTTTCTGAGGCGCTCCTTGTTCCTCTTTTCCAACCTGCACAACACATTTCAGGTCAAATTTAGCCATTTTTAAAGTAGATCAACAACAAAATAATGCCACTCTAAGCAGTACCTTGCTGCCCTAAGAGCGATGTCTTCAGCTGTTGGCTCATGGGGCTTCTCACTGGCTTCTGCTATGATAGCAGAGATCTTCTGTATGCAGTCAGAAAGGTTTCTCTGCTGACTCCTACTCAGCTCTGAGGTCACCAGCAGTTCCCCGGCCTTAGTGATTCGGGTTTTGTTCTGCACAGCAACATCAAAGTGAGGGGTGAAAATTAAAAAGTTAAAAAAATAATCTGCAAAGAGAACAACTGTATTTTCTGTTAACTGTGATGCAAGAGTAGAAATGAATGAAATTGACATCAACAAGTCAGACATATTTCTTAACTCGCAGTATGTGAAAACAAACCTTTTCAAGGATTTTTTTCCGAACATCTTCTGGGATCCATTCTGCTGTTTGCACATGGAATCGGACTTCTGCTTTTGTGCTGACTGTGGATTGAAAATGGTAGACCATCTTATTAACATGCACTATGTTATGCACTAATTATGCACCAGAAAGCTTTTTTTTTTTTCATTTAAAATTAAACTGTGGTAACCTTTGTTGACATGCTGACCCCCAGGACCGCTGCTTCTGCTGTAAGATACCGTCAAACGTTCTAATACATAACACAAGACCATATGGATTAATACACCGTATAGATGACATGACATTTATATGTGATTCCTCTTGAAAATATGTTTGTTTGTCCTTACCTACTGGAATGTGAACTTGGGTTTCCTGAAAAAAGTCAAAATAAAACCTGTTTCTCGATGGCAACAACTTAAACTACTCAAACTAAACACACCCTACGTTCAATACATCCAATAAGTTTTATTCGGAAACAGTAGGTAAGCTAGTCCCTTTTAAGGGACTTTTCAGAGGCATTATTCCTACAACAGAAAGACAGAAACTGTTCGCGTTTATTTTACTGACCTGTGTGCCGGCTGCCTCTCGGGTCCCGTAACTAACACTCGACTGAAAAGTGTTGTTAGTGTGCCTCAGTACAACATTCCGTAATGTTACATGCTGCCTAATCACGTTTATTCCTACACAACGACAAAACACATAGGAACGTCGCGCAATGGAGGCCGCCATGTTGGAGTGACGTCTTCACGACGGTCGAAAGAACGTCGTGTAGCTGTTGCTGCGTCTCGTGACGGTAGCACATGTATGTGTGCTGGTATATTCCACACCAAACGTCGAGGTTTGTTAGTAGTATTAAAGCTGTGTGTGTGCTAGTGAGATACATGTTAATTTACATTTGGGTTTGGTCCACATGTTTGCAAGCAGAAACATTAAGAAAAAGTCAGGTTCCACCGAGATTTGAACTCGGATCGCTGGATTCAGAGTCCAGAGTGCTAACCATTACACCATGGAACCACACGTGCGAGTGTCAATTTTTTATGTATTCAACCACGAGAAAGAAAGATCACGCTACTACCGTTGACACATAAATTATTAATACAATATTAACTCACATGATGCAGAGGCCTGAGTTTGTTTAATGGCTCCACTAGCTGGCATATTACCATGTCACCTGTTGCTACGAACAAATCCTGTTTTTCCCGCTTTAGTCTGAACTAGGTTCTGACATTAGGGTTCCGATGTATCTGGAAGGCGACCCTGACCTTTTAAATGACGCAAATGGAACGGATCTCACTTTCTCACTGACCTTCGTTGTGGAAAGTACTCGGAGGAGACGGCTAGCTGGAAAAAGTGCAGATTGTGCAAAACTGACTGAAGGAGAAATTTACTTTTTGGACAAAGTGCTGAATTGCTCAGATTAAACAGCGGCTCTAAAATGAACAAGGTAGAAGATACACACTTTGATTTATCGCACACATTTGAATCAAAACATAGGGCCACTCATATTTGTCTTTCGATAAAATCCTTTATAAGTGATTATGAGATAAGGAGGGAACTTTTTGGGATATTTAGTATGTTTCCTCTGCTACCTGTAAACTTAAACTTAAATTAATTGTATCTCTAGGTTATTTGTTTAAACTGAATATGAACAACCCATGGTAATGTCATGGTTGCTAGCTAGCAAACAACTACAGGCATCTTGTTTGTATTAATGGCATTACCATCAAACGGTGACTACATTTAAATTTAAAATGATACCTAAAAATGAAGAAGAACATATGAGGGATTTTGTTTCTCTTCATGTTAAATAATTATTCAAATGTGGTCTTTACACGATCTTTTTGCGTATTTCTGTTATGATCTGTTGTTAAATCTGGTAATATTGCAACTTCTGTTAACAGATGTTGTCTGTATCAATGTAAGACTCGTCAAATCATCAATCTGTTTGAGTAAAATGTACTTTTAACTCATTTCAAACAATAGAAACAGTAGAAGATTTGCAAAAAAATAAACAAATGCCCCCATAGCAACGAAAGCTTTATTTAAAAGTTTTGGTTACTTTTAAATATATATATATATATTGTCTATGTGATCTTATTGCATGATTCTGTTAACATGATTTTAATGTAGTAATATATTTTTATATCTGTTATCTATATTTAGACAAAAAGTGTTCTTGACTTTTTGATGTATGTTCTTGATGTATCATTAATCCATCTCAAAAACATTTGCCCCCATCAAAGAGGCCATAGTAACACTGACTTCTTACATGAAAAAATGAAAATACAAAATGTAGTCTTTATTTATTTCTGCTATATAATCTTAGCACACGGTGTCACTGGGGTTTATATGTGGTGTTTCAATGCAGCCTACTCCCAGATTTGGTTCGTGAGCGGCCGCATGAAGCAGCGGCTGATTTTAAAGTGATGATTTAAAAGTGTAAAACTGAGAGCTTTTCGAGATCTCTTGCTTGCTGAAATGTGGTTGTCTTTCTTTTCTAGATTCCCTCTGATGGAGCTGGAGGACTGGGGCCTGCTCAGTTGGACTGTGAAACAATCGCCACCCCATGCCTGCGAGATGTGTCACATGTGTAAGAAACAAGTCTAAACTCATCAGTACACCCAGAAATTGAAATTATGAGCATATACTCATTTGGTTTTCTTAATCATTTTTAATTGTTATTCTAGGCTGCAGATGTATTTACCTGGATGTGTCGAGCCAGAATTGGAAGACATCATTTGCCCTCCGTTACAGAGCTCAAACGTCTCAGATCGTCGAAATACACTTCCACAACCTTTTAATTGTGGCACGGCTTCTTCAGAGGAGCTGATAGAGGAGGAGAGGTTTTTCCTCAAGTTGTTTACCGAGCAGTTGGTGGCTCACATTGAGATAAAGACCCACACACCAAAAAGCAATGTGGACTTGAGTAAATTAGAGGCACGTGTGAGAGAGAGAACCCCTCTTGACTTACGGTTTACTGACCCAAAAGCCTTTGACAAAATGCTCATCCCCATCTACAAAGACCTTTGCACACAGTTTGGCTCCAAATACCTTCTGCTTGCTGCCCTGGACTCTGGGGATGTTGCCTTTGAAGCAGCTGTTGCAGAAGGACTGAAAACACGGCTAACAGCGTCTGCACGGAAACCTGACAACCTGTTGAAGAGGCTTTTCTCCAAGAGGTCATCCAAGGTTGCTCCGTTCAGAGATGTGAAATCACGTCACACTGATGAAAACAGCCAGGACGATGGAAAACCGATTCCATCTTTGATGAACAGAAAGGGTGATGGTGTCCGGAAGAGGCTGTCCTCCATGGCTTCTGCTGTAAAAAAGAGATTTGGTGACAACTTTGTCAGCAGCGAATGCCAAAAACGTGATTTCTTTAATGGCAAGCCTCAATTTATGATTGCCCCCCTTCTCTAATATTTATCCTGAGAGATCTGAAGATGAGCTATTAAATTTGTCTTTTTTTAAGTAATGTTTATCTTGAAGGATTTAAGGAGGATTTGTTATATTTGGACTATTGTAATAAAACATTGAACATTGATCAGAGTAAGCTGTCAAGTTTTTTTGGATCCTCGATGGTTTCATCATATCCTGAAACTAAATGTACATCCAAAGACGTGCGTGCAAATAATATTGTAGACAAACAACAAACTGCAGTGAGAGTCATATGTATGTAAGTATGGTATCTCTTGAGTGACATAAAAATATAGCAACAAAACCATATACTGTGTAATAAAGATGGAAACCGCATTATGCGTTTGAAGCCTCAACTTGTGTATTTTGATTATCACCAGCTCTTTTTCCCCCCACATTTATTTATTTATCTATTTTAGCTCATTTTAATTGGTGGCTCTGATTTAGGAATGAAGGACACTGCATGCTCATATGTAAGAGTCACAAAACCACAATGCTCTAAAACATGCCCAGTCTTTTTCATAATCAGTTTAACTCTTCATGAGGAACCAAATAAGAACTGTAACTAATGACTAAGACCATAAACTTCACAGGAGAGTGTTTATTGATCGATTTATTGACCCTGTTATTGTAGGGTCTACCTTACAATATAAAGCACCTTGAGGTGACTGTTGTTGTGATTTGGCGCTATGTAAATAAAATTGAATTCAATTAAAGCCATACATTACACACACGTAATCTTTGTCACCCCCTGTGGCAACGTGGCAAAATGATAATTTACTCATCTAAAATCTGTCAGGCAGTCAGTAATCCCAGAGATGGTGGGATAATGTTTCTGGCATTTCCCGTAGCTTCTCTCTCAGGAGCGGCTATATTGTATAAAATGCTCTTGAGAAATCAAAGAAGGAAGCCCATTTGTACCATGCAGCCATTACTAGAAGTGGTATCCAAATATTGGTAGATTCAATACCAACACTGGCATATGTATTGGATCGATACTGTGCGATAGGATCTATACTTAGATACATACATACATCAGAAAGGAGACATGTCTGTGTAAATACTTTCAATAAGTCACACTTAACAAGTTTTATTTTTGTGATAGCTGTTGCTTTAGAAGACTGATTACCTATTAACTATTCAGGCATTCAAATAATAATGAACAGTCATTAAAAACGTGTTTTGACAGGTTGATGATAATTTAGTTCATAAGTCATGTCATGCTGCTCTTAAGCTGCCTTTAAGTTAAAAGTATCTGTATCGGTATAGGTATCGACAATACTTCCTCCAGTATCTCGTGTTATGAAATCGTGCTTCAGCTGGAAACTCTCAACAGAAGAGAGCTATATTTCTGTCTGTATGGTGAACAAGAAAGCGGAACTCTAGTTTGTCCCTGTTTCACCGGAAAACATATGCGGACGGACACTGCTAATTTTCCTGACAAAACAAACCCAAACCTACTCAAATGTATCCGTTTTTTGTTTCCCCAACATTTATCGGGCGACATGGCGTACTCAGTAATATGCTGACACATTACTAGCTAAGTAGCTAGTCCTTGTCATTGGTATTTGTGTTTAGTTTCTCGGAATAGCTCGATAGTATTTTTAGCTAAGGTTAGATGCTAATCGCGTAGCATCCTGCAGGCTGTCCCATTAACAGCATTAGTTGCACGGTCTTATGCTAGCCAACCCAAGTGCCAGCAGGTCGCATACGTCTTAGAACAACAGAGTCACAGGTCGGTCTTGTCGGGTGTAGCTGACACAAGCGCCAGGGTGGAGTTAGCGGTGTGGGGTCTAGATCGTATTGGATAATTATGCAACGTTGGAATTTTGATGAGACACCAGTGGGTGAAGATCGTTGCCAGCTGGGTTGGCTGTTGCTTTGTCAGTGAAGTCATGCATGACGTGAACTTTGTGTTGCTCAAGAGAAGCCTTTCCACCGTGTAGCGCCGAAGCCATCCTCAGTGAGAGATCTCCGCTGTTTACCTGCAAAATGCCTGGAATGGTGGTGTTTGGTCGGCGCTGGGGGATAGCCAGCGACGACCTGGTCTTCCCGGGCTCCTTTGAACTGTTCATCCGTATACTTTGGTATGTTGATTACTCTCGTGAATACTGAAACACCTTTGCTAACCTAAGCCTGCCTAACTCGGCGCATTAATATAACCGACTTTGTTGTTGTCTTTCTCCAGGTGGATTGGCACCATGGTGTTATTCATTTATCACAAGGGTCACTTCGAATGTAACGGGAGAGCAGTTCTTCATAGCTACCTGGTTGGACTGCTGGTTGTGCTGGCACTCATCATCCTCTCACTGTGTGCTATTGTCTACATCAGTGCTCAAGGTAAATTAGTTGGGGTTCATTAGAGGTCTGGCTCCTTAGTGCACACACAAGGGCCACAACCTTAACCTGAAAATGACTGAACTGTAACAGAGCAACCTAGGAACCGCAAGTAAGCCTGCAGTCTAAGAGCGAAGAGCTCTAATTGGGTGATGCTGTACCCAGTACTATAAGGTCATTAAGATAATTTGGGGCCTGATTATTCAAGACCTTGAATGTGAGGAGCAGGATTTTAAATTCAGTTCTGGATTTAACAGGAAGCCAATGAAGAGAAGCCAGTATCGGAGAAATATGCTGTCTCGTTCTAGTCCCTGTCAGTACTCTTGCAGCAGCATTTTAGATCAACTGAAGTGAACCCTGAACTGAACAATGCCATTGAGTCATTTCCCGTTTGCTTCTTTAGCAACATATATTGAGCATCTCCTTTTTATTGTGTAAGAGTTTTCTGATGGGGAAAATTGGCAAATCCTAACCCATGCATTAGACCGTGCTCGAGAAGGAGTGTGTCTTTTCCAACTTTAGATGAAAACAGTTAAAACTGTCGCAGACCATAGCATGCATCAGTCCAACACGTGATTGGCTCAAATGTTTTCTGGTTTGGCTGGTGATTGGCTCTTTGCAGAAACAATTTTACTGATTTGAAAGTTTTCAAACTAACACTCTTATATGTTGCACATTTAAAGATCTGCCTGTCTGTTATGGAAGTTTCTTTCTGTATCTTTAGTGTAAATTAATTTTTACTCTGTCAGGTACCATTACAAACCCCGGCCCGCGGCGCTCTATGCCTGCGCTGGTGTACCTGCGGGCGATACTGTATGTCCCTGAGCTGGTGTGGGCCTGTCTGGGAGCTGTCTGGGTGTCGGATGATGGCCGTGGTTGTGATCCTGCCACGGTAGGAGCCGTTATCTTGGCAGTTGTCGCCAGGTAGGTTGTTCAGGTGTGAGGATTTTTGGTTTATTCAACTAGTTAATTAGTTAACGTTGCTTTGATCAACCTTTTTCCCCCCCGCTTGTTTCTGTTGTGGCAACAGCTGGATCATCCTGCTGTTCACGGCCGTGGGGGTAGTGTTTGTTTTTGACCCACTGGGAAACCCTCGTCCTCAGCCTCCTGCCATGGAGCCGCTGGGAGTGCGAGACATGCAGAGCAGCGAGGGCACCCAGTTTCTATCCACGGCTCGCTCACTCGCTGTTAAAGTGTGGGAGAGCAGGCTGCGGCTCCTATGCTGCTGCCTGCCGCAGGACGAGAGCTCCCGGGCAGCGTTTTCCAGCATCTCTCAGCTCTTCAGCAGCTTCTTCTCTGTAAGAGATTTTTGAAACGAAGCAGAATACAGGCTGAAAAAAAGAATGTGTTTAACATTAAAATAAGCTGCGTCGAATATAATTTCCACTGATGCAAAACCCACTGTGAGATCCTCTCTGTCATGCTGCAGGACACAGATCTAGTTCCAAGTGACATAGCAGCCGGTTTGGCTCTGCTGCACCAGGAGCAGGATAAGATGGAGCGAAGCAGAGATCCTGATGTCGTAGTCCCTCACAGCCCTTCCTCTCCTGTAGTAAGTCATGTAGATGAAGTCGAGCTCATGCTGTGAAACCAGCAAAGCAGAGTCCTACTTATTTGTCTTTTACCATTTCAAGGGAGAAGATCTGGAGGCCGAGCTGGAGAAAGCCACCCACTGGATGCAGTTTGCTGCGGCGGCTTACGGCTGGCCGCTGTACATTTACTCCAACCTCTTTACCGGGCCCTGCAAGCTCAGTGGAGACTGGTAAGATGCTGTGCGCGTTGGAATCAGCGGAACCTTTGGTGAGATGAGTAACCCAAATCCTAATGCGTGCACGTGTTTCAGCTGCAGGAGTCGCGTAGCCGAGGACGAAATCGTTGGAGGAGATCACCTCGGCTGCCACTTCTCATCCATCCTACAAACCACTGGTTTGCAGTACAGAGACTTTATCCACGTCAGCTTCCACAACCAGGTGGGGGTTTCACTCGTCATTTATGTTACATAAGGTTCAAGTTGAAGGCCACCTCCAGCCTCACGACAGCACATCTAAGCACACGTGGTATGTTGCAGATCTATGAGATCCCCTTCTTCGTGGCTCTGGATCATAAGAGGGAGGCGATTCTGGTGGCTGTCAGAGGAACTCTTTCACTGAAAGTGAGTTGGGACCTATTTTTTCCCCCCTTTTCCCAAAAATAGTATGGGGTATCAGCTGTCTAAGTATGGATTGTTTGTTGTATGTTTGGTTTGTTTTTTTTCTTCCTTTCCCCACAGACAGCCCTCTCATCCTTATTTTGAAAGTTGATGCTAACCAGCTAGACATGAGATTTCCTGTCTTGTGTTTACTTGCTGGCAGGCTTTGATGTCACTCCACCAATCTGCCTTGCTTTATATCACAGGACACCTTCAGAAGTCTTTTTCTGGCAGCATGAGATATGAAACAATACAATTATATGGTGGTGATTTTAGAATCATGACTGATCTGTGCGTGGTGCTTTCCTCATACACAAACTTTAAGTGGCTAACCCATGTGTATTTTCAACTCATTTTCTTTTTCATCCCTCTGAGAGAACAGAGCTATCCACCATCACATTAATGGTGGACATTCCCTTTGTTCATATTTTGAAAAAAGCAGTTTTTGTACCGGCCTTTTCTGTGTGACAGATACAAAATCCAAAGAATACACTCAGAGCCACATTTGTAATGCTTACTGTCTATTCTTGTCTCTTAATTTTCAGTATCACTTCCCTCTTTTTGTGTTCAACGAACTGAAAAGTCAGTGAAAGGATAGACTGATAAATATAGGTCTCATGTCCCCATCTGATGCCATGTGACCCTTCAGCACTCACTCAATAGCAGTTATACAAAAACAAAGTTGAAGTGAAAGAAGGTGTGTTTGCATCACTGAGTGTCGACACATGTGAGTGATGTAGGTGAAATGGTGATTAGATTTGGAATAATTTAACATTTCTTCTTATGAGTCTGGAGCTTCAGGAAGGAGCTGAATGATTTTTACCCACAAGAGATTTAAACTTCATGTCTCCTGCAGGATGTCCTCACAGACCTGTCTGCTGAATGTGAGAACCTGCCTGTAGAAGGAGTGTTGGGAGCCTGCTACGCCCACAAGGTGAACATTCATTTAAATACAGCTCTCCAAGGTTGTCATTGTTGAGGTTCCTGCCAGATTCAGCAGATGTCTGTGTCTCCTGCAGGGCATCAGCCAGGCAGCGGGTTACGTCTACAAGAGGCTGGTGAACGATGGCATCCTGAACCAGGCTTTCTCCATTGCACCGGTAAGAAATGTAACTGGGGCAGAGGCTACCTTTCAGTTGCACTTTAGGTTATTTTAGTTTTATCACAACTAGATCATTTCATCAAAGATCAGGTAATACTTCCCACTAAACCACCTGAGAATCAGTAGTTTTCTTTTGGGGGTTTTGTTTGTGTTTTTTCCTGTTAAAAGGTTTTTTTTTTCCTTCCCACAGTCGCTAAGTGCTTGCTAATAGAGGGTCATTTGATTTTTCTTTTTTTATTCTAATATTTTAAAGTCTTTCCAATATAAAACACCCTGAGGCGACTGTTCTTGTGAATTGACACTTCAGAAAATTCAATTCAGTTTTATTTATAAAGTCAGTCTGAGTTACTGGTGCTTGAAGTACACAAGGGTGTGTCCAAATGTCCACCATTTGTGATCCTTGATGCTTGGCCACAAGAGAGAGCAACATAACCTTTTCCAGGCTAAAAACCAGGTTTTTTTTCTTCATAACCACCTGAACATCAGTGTCACAGGACTTGTATAAAAACTGCACCGATTTAATGTCAAGAAGAACAGAAAACAAACGTTGCTATCCTGGATGTTTGAGCTGTTTTCTGATAATTCATTGAAAAGAAAAAAAACCCCCTTATTTTGGTTAAACTCTCAGGGGCCAAATCCCAAAGGGGGATTGGTGTTTGGTCAGAACAAGTTATGTGATCTCAAAGGTGTCCTTTTTACCTACATTGTGAAACGAGACTCATCTTCAACACATGATTCCTTAAGAGTCAATGGTATCTTTGAATGTAGTCATATAATAAAGAATTATTAAATTATCCAATGTGCTCAATCCACTTATGCTTAAAGCTTTATAACAGTTCTGCTTTTTAATCTGGTAAAACGTGTGATGCAAGAGCCAAGAGAACAATCACAGGGTTGTGGCTCCAAACCAAGCCCAACATGAAGGAAAAACAACTTTTTTCAACATCAGAAAGTTGTTAGTAGGTTGTTGCACATAAGAAAAAACATTTTTACTACTCGATGTATATTCTCCTTTGGATTCATTCTGCGGCACCAGCTAAGCTTCACATGCTCATGATAACCAGTTGGTAAAACCATATATGATACTGCGATTATCAAGAATTTGCACGTGTCTCACAGTGTCACCATAAGTTGTCAGTTAAACTTGCAAACCGCACCTAATTCGCTCTAACTCAGCCTTCTCAGTTTTGCAACCTTGAGTGCAGAGAATTTCAAATGTAACGTTCATTTTTATCCCACGTTGTGATGTCAACACCCTTGAAAATTTACCCAAAAAACACTTTCTGAAGTTTTCACTTGTGGATTCTCAGAAAATGAGCTTAAAGTTTGAAGGGGCTGCAAAGTTGGTTTGATTGTTTAAATGTGTGTTTCAGCTGGAAACTCTATTAAAAAACTCACAAGATTTTATTTGTGAGATAATCTGAAAATATAAAACTGGCCTGCTTTTTTCCCTCCTATATGGGAAAATAACAGCTCTGCTTTCTGTGTGTGTGCACACGGGCAGTTGTCTCCCTTCTCAAATTCAAATTCAAATTTTATTTGTCACGTACACAGTCATACACAGTACGATATGTAGTGAAATGCTTGGACAACTGCTCGTGACCTAAAGAAAACAAAAAAGGAAAGGCTATGAATAAGATAGGAAATAAATATGAAAAATTAAAAAGGGTAAATTTAACTAGGAAGGAATAAAATATAAATTAAGGTTAAAAATGAAATAACTGTACAACACAAATTAGAATGAAGGGTAAATTTAACTGGGAGAATAAGATAAAATATATAAATTAAAGTTGAAAATAAAATAACTGTACAACAAAATACACAATACAGAACTGTATAAGAATGTATGAAGAAATATAAATAAAAATTCTTCTTCTGTTTGAAGCCACACAGATGACGTGTTTGTGTTCCTGTTTTTCATAGGAGTATAAATTGGTGATCACCGGTCACAGTTTGGGTGCTGGTGCAGCCTCAGTGCTGGCTATCCTCTTGCGCAATTCCTTCCCCACCCTGCAGTGCTATGCCTTCTCTCCACCAGGGGGCCTCCTAAGGTAAGGCTGACAAAGTCTGAGGTCAGGACCGATTTTAATTGGCAGCTACAGGCAGCTGTCTGTGGACAGATCTGGTGGAAGATCTGGGTGGCTGAGCAGTAATTAGAAAAACTGCTTTGCCACCCAGCTAATGTGATGTATGTAATGTCATATTTAAATAGTTGATAACGCTTGTAAACTGTCAGGTATGGGACAGTTTTCTTAATGTGTTTTTTGTTCTACTTCCTCTCTGTGTGCAGTAAAGCTTTAGCTGATTACTCCAAGGACTTTGTGGTCTCAGTGGTCCTGGGAAAGGATCTGGTTCCCAGGTAACACGGAAAGCTCGTTACATTATTTACTTCTTAGGAATCAGAATGTATTGAGTAACTAAATTCAGAGCTCATAGTCAGTATGTGATGCTGAATAGATGCTTGTGACACTGATCTTCACTGTTCACAGTGGATCATTAAAGGTCGTGTATATTTGTGTGTTAGCACACAGCAGTGCTGTCTTCAAAAAGCCTGCATGAATGTTCTGTGGTGAAACTATTATAGACTACTGCATGATTCTATATTTGGCTCTACCCTGTTATTACTCACATAGGAGAATACAAGTGTAACTGACACACTCCTTTACTTTCTAAGCCTTCGTCAAAATTTTAACTCAAATTTCTATATCTAAGGATGTAAACTTGTGTGAACAGATGGTGACACGTTTTAAAAAACGTAACATTTTCAGACTCTGTAGTATTTCCTCGAAGTTGATTTCTAATAATATATTTTCATGTGTTTGTATACATGATGCTATTAAAGTGATCTAAATATTAAGGAATCAAAAATGTGATCAAGTAATATAACAGCCGTGAGTGTTTTTATTTTACGTACTTGAAATATTTAGAATCTAAGAAGTCTGTCTCTGTCCACTTAGTCTCAAACCAACTTCAAATCAGGACAAAAAAGAAAAAGTGATGTTTGTTTTCGTCCTATAAGTAAGACAACGAGGAAGAGCTAGTTCAGTCACTAGCAATATGTCATTGTTAGCTAATGCTAGCTCACCTGCTAACATAGACTAGCTGCTAACAGTGTGAAGTAGCAAATTCCTATCTTAAGTAAGTAACATCAGCTAATTTGGCTAATTAATGCAGCTGTTTATTTTCAAGTTATTCTATGAGCTAATTTTGTGAAATAACGATGTCACAGCAGCATTACAGCTGCTGGCTAACCATCGCTCTGTCTGTTCATATTGCTAGCAGTATATCTGCTGTAACAGATAAGTGGGTACATTACTACATTTATTTCACAAACAGCGCGCACGTCAGTCTGTGATTCATCAGTATTTTCTTCCCTGTACTCTACCAACATTTTTTTTTTTTGTATTATGGTAAGAGTACCTTAGAAAATGATGATGCTGATGATAATAATAATCATTTCTTTAGGAATTAAGTTTCATGTGAAGAATATAACCGGAAGGTTTTTTAGGCTGTAACTTCCTTTTTTCTTAAAACATATTCTAATCATAAACTTTTTCCACTTCTGGGTTACCAGTACAAAGATCAAACAAACAGTAAAATAAATTCCAGACTTTTCATAAATAATATTGATGGTAGAGTTTTTTTATGTGTGTGTTTGTTTGTTTGTTAAAAAAAATCCGATCTACACTCATTTGATCGAGGAAAAAAATGTGAGGGGGCGGAAAAAAAATATTCCCTATTTGTAAAATATATTAACTCAAAAAAAAAAAATCCTTATAAAAATCTAATAAAATAGTGGACCAGTATAGCAAAAGCTGTAATGGTCCATTTGGGGAAATAAATTTGTTTGGCTTTCAGACAACAATTCTGATCACTACACTGCCGGACAGCACAGGCAAAAACAAAAAAGAAACCCCAACAAGTCACGCAAAGCGTGTCACTTTTAATTACACACCTATGATTATAAGCTACTCAAGGGAAATGTCAGCTTGTGAATTCAGACATTTTGCTACCACCCAACATGGATCTTTCACTGTTGTCCTCTTTCAAACCAGTTCATCGAGCAATAAAAAGGGTTTATGAGCCACCAGGGAAAGTTCGCTGGAGTTCGATGACATTTGCTGGGAAAATGATTGCTAAAGCCCCAATCACACAGGCCTACTGACTGGTCAGTGACCCCCAGGCAACCACCTGTCAGTAGGGGGGGAAAAAGCATGGATGGACCAGAGTACGACACAAAATCTCCAGTTTCTCAAGTTGTTTTAGTGAATGTTTGCAGACAAATGTGATCTTTTGAGTTTTTATGAATGTTGCACAGACAACCTTATAATCAATTAACTGTCTCTGTTTGTTTTGTTTTCCGCTAAGACTGAGCATTCCAAACATGGAGGATCTGAAGAGAAAGCTACTGAAAATAGTTTCAAACTGCAATAAACCCAAAGTAAGAACCCTTCATATAGCCCTATGCCTTTAGACTATCTGGAAATGAAGTTGCACTTGTGAATTTTGGACCCTTTTTCATGTTTGCATTGCAGTACCGCATCCTGCTGCAGGGATGTTGGTATGAGTTGTTTGGCGGAGACCCGGATGACTGCCCCACTGAGATGGATAACAGGAGGGAGCAAGAGCTTAGCCAGCCCCTCCTGGGAGAGGAGTCTCTAATCGTTCGCCACTCATCCTCCTATCAGAGCCTGGGATCAGATGAATCACCCGCCCACACACCTGCACACTTGCCTCTCTTCCTGCCGGGACGCATTCTGCATATCACAGAAGATGGGCCGACACGGAGGTGGGTCTGCAAATGTTTCATGTTTCCAATGAGCAGATTCACAGCAGACTTTCCAAGTGTTGATGACTTTGTGTATCTTGTAATTCTTTTTCAAGAAAGGCAAAAGTTCTTGACACATTCTTGGTTGATCACTGACTGGTTTGCGGTTCAAAAGTACTTCATATCCCCTTCAACAGTAAAGCAATTAGGGAACCCAATGGCAATTTTACTAGCTTAGCATATGAGGACCAGTTGTGTATTTTTGATCACTATGCTAGTGTTTCAAACTAGATGTGTGGGGGAAGGACCAAGGGTTACTGCATACTGATGGAGTACGACTGTGCATAGACAATTTGAATTCTTTGGGACACTAATGAGAGAAGTTATGTCTAAAGTCAACATCGTGTTGCATTTAGTAAGACTTGAAACTGGAAACTGAAGACATAAACTCATCAGAAAAATATTTACTGATGGCATGGATCAAACAGCTGAGAGCAGTTTTCCTATGCAGTTCATTTTACAACCAGAGGAGTCGCCCCCTGCTGGACGTTAGAAAAAATACCCCCATTCTTTTAAAGCAAGCTACTTCCATTATTTATCTGTAGTCTGTAAACTGTGTTTAGGCTGTCATGTGTTCATGTTCATTATAACCCCTAAGCCTAACTAATAATTTTAGATGCGTATAGTGTTATGAGAGATAAGCACATAAATTATTTGATCACTCTGTCCTCTACTTTCCTTAGATCCTGCTTTTCCCAGGTCCGGTACCGTGCAGACTGGTCAAATGAAATGGCATTCCGGAGTATTTTGATCAGCCCCAGGATGCTTACGGATCACATGCCCGACATTGTGCTCCGAGCACTCGGCACTCTGACCAAGGACAAGCCCTTTTCCCTGTGCCCTTCATCTTTAAGCGACAGCCAGCACAACGCTATCTGAAATGTACCATAGAGACTGTTTCCTTGTGTCTTCGCGTGGCCTGTAATTACACCATTTCCTCATATTTTGGCTCCAAGCCTTATGAAATTTCAAAGATTTCAAATATACAAGTATTTGATCAGAGAATACGTGAAAGCGTAGCCTGTTATGATCGCCATGGAGGGAACCTTATTTGTAAAGAAAAACTCTCTGGAGCACAAGTTTCATTTGTTTAATTGCACTTTTAATGATTTATATCAAATAATTTTATGTATTTTGACTTTGAGTTACTCCTTGAGCATCTGAATGCCATGATCTTTGAATGTGCGTTGTGTACAATATTTGACAGTGCTGCAGTTTTTACCGTGATGCCGGTGTTGTTGATTTTTATGTCTGTGTGAGCGGTGTGTGGTTGGAAGAGGCTGCCCCCTCCTTTCTTATCTTCTTTCTCTTCAGAGAGTGAGAGCAGACTGAGTCAGGGTGATAAAGGGGTAGCTTTCGCCACAGAAACCTGTACTGGATTCACACCTTCATTGTGTAGTAGCTGCGGTTAGCTTGTCCTGTGTTTAATGTCTTGAGACATCAGGGTGAACAGTGCCTATGCATTACAGAAACCAAGCTGAGAGACACGGTGATGAGCACAGCTTGTTTACAGTGAGATTTTTTTTTTCCTTCAGTGCAGTTTGAATAGTGCATGGTGTTTGACATAAATGTGTTGGTGTAAGAAGTAGAAAGATTGTACTTACACAAAAGGTGGGAACCTGTTTACTTGCCATGGATATTGCTCATTTCAGGTGATATATATATATTATATTATAATATGCCTGCATAACAATCTCAAATCCTCAGTAGAAAGCGTTGGACTCCTGGATGCAATTAAACTCTTTTGTGAAGCACACCTTTTTTATTCTTTCATTTTTCCCCTCTTCTGAATAAACAATGGGTTTCTCAGTGAGAGGAGCCTGTTGATCTTAGAGCCAGCAAGTTTTATAAAGCTTAACAATGGGATTAATCCACGGACTGAAGCCACAGGAGTCAGTTGGGGGGATGTAATTATGAACAGGCCAGGAGGCATTAGTTCTTACCCTATTTTTAACTTTAAACACAAATTCAAGAAAAAAAAAAGTGACTATTGTTATGTAATGTAGACAGCTCATTTGAAAGAGGCAGCGAGATCAATGTAAGCAATAATGAAGAGTTTTAACTAATATATATGTGTGAATATGTGTGTGTGTGTGTGTGTGTGTGT